CTTGACCTCAGCCCCCTGTAACCTCACTGTTCCACTTCCCTCCCTCTCATTCATACACATACAGGTATATTCTGTCTTACCACGACAGACTTTCATTTTTCCTCTTTCCAGAGCAGACCTCCACCCACTCTCTGCTCTCACTACAAATTACAATGTCATCCGCAAACATCATTGTCCAGGGAGATTCCTGTCTGACCTCTGTCAACCTGTCCATCACCATAGCAAACAAGAAGGGACTCAAAGCCGATCCTTGATGTAGCCCCACCTCCACCTTGAACTCCTCTGTCTGACCTACAGCACATCTCACTACTGTCGTACTCCTCTCATACATACAGTATCCTGAACTACTCTGATGTAGAAACTCAGTATTTTCCACTAGGGTTTCTTAATAGTAAAAGACTGTAACTGCAGGGTATCTGATGCTGATGATGAATGTTGTATTGATTTTAATAAAGTATTTTCTTCTGAAGTTTTCTCACACATACACAGACAGGTTATCAGGTTATACAACTACCTGTAGAGCAGCCTAAATGTTAGTAAGCTAGATTGAGCTTTTTTTAAATAATGGATCTGAAATGGATCAGGGGCAGATGAGCAGAACAGAATCCAAACTATGCTGCTTCATGAACAGATCCAGAACTAATGTCACTTGATTTTAACACATATGGGTTGGATTCAAGCCAGGTCTGCACTGGATCTGTGGCACATATCTGTTGCAGATCTGCCTCGATGTGCGATGGACTCCAATATGGATCTAAGACACTTCCACGGGTATATCATCTGGACCAACAGCCTTTCCACTCTTCATTCTCCTCAGAGCCTTCCTCACCTCATCCTTTCTAATCTTTGCTTCCTGCTCTACAATACTCACCTCTTCCCCCCTTCTTTGTTCATTTTCCTCATTCATCAGTTCCTCAAAATACTCCTTCCATCTTCTCGGCACACTCTCCTCACTTGTTAGCACCTTTCTATCTCTGTCTTTAATCACCCTTATCTGTTGCACATCCTTCCCATCTCTATCTCTCTGTCTCACTAATCTGTCCTAATAAGTCCTTCTCGCCTTCTCTCGTGTCTAACCTGGCATACAACTCATCATATGCTTTCTGTTTGGCCATTGCCACCTAACTCTTCACTCTACACTCCAATTTCTTGTAATCCTGTCTACTGTCTTCAGTCCTTTCTACGTCCCACTTCTTTCTAGCTAGCCTCTTCCTCTGAATGCTGTCCTGTACTTCCTCGTTCCACCACCATGTTTCCTTATCTTCTTTCCTCCTTCCAGATGACACACCTAGCACCTTCCTACCTGTCTCCCTCATCACTTCTGCAGTAGTTTCCCAGTCATCTGGAAGTTCTTCATGACCACCCAAAGCCTGTCTGGCTACACTTTCTCCTACCACCACTTTGCAGTCAGTAATGTCTCTCAGATTCCCTCTTCTAGATAGAATGTAGTCTACCTGCGTACTCCTACCTCCACTCTTATATGTAACTCTATGTTCCTCCCTCTTCTGGAAATAGGTGTTAACTACAACCATTTCCATCCTCTTAGCAAAGTCCACCACCATCTGTCCTTCTAGGTTCCTTCCCTTAACA